TTTCATATATAATTATTGAATTGTGTCGCGATACGTCATAGTGTATCAAACTCGAAGGGCCGAAGACCCTCGATAATTGAAGAGAAATAAGGTTGGTTCAATGCTCTATGATGGAGTTGGGAGGACGAATTTAGAATTTAATTTTGATGGAGTATCCAAGACAATTGTTGGTCTTAATGTGCGAAAATTGATTGTTGGTTGATTTAATTTTTTTGTGTGATCATTTTAAGTATTTATTAATTTAAAAGGGTGTAATATACATGAGAGACTCGCCAAGGAAATGCGAAACAAAATAATGAGTTGTGAATTTTTATTCATTTGTTAAATTATTTCGGGTATTATTCTTGAGTTAGGCCTCGTGGATTAGATAGATCTAGTCACGATGTCGGTGATCGAGGCTCGATATTGATTGTGTGATTGATAGTAACGATGTAATTAGACGTGGCACTACTAGTCTAACTTTTCATGGCCACAAACTTGATAATGGTGTCAGCAAATTTGCATCCCCTCCAGTAATGGCCCCGTCGGTCATCGCCTCCTCGTTGTGGTTGATCCCACTTTAGTTTTCTCAACTCCAAGTTTCTCTGGATTTGATGATGGACGGACCATTTGGGTCATGAATAACTGGTAAGTAATATGTTTTACATACAATGATTAGTTTTATATTTTTATAAATTATATTGAAATAATTAGTTTATTTATTTATTATTGTTTTTTACGGTATGGTTTCATCAAGCAAGTACTCGATTAAAATCACCATAATTTTCAAGGAAAGGTTGGACGTCACTCCACATGAAAGTTTGTCTCCAAGGAGACAAAAGCTTCTACTTTAATGAGTTTAGGATAACATATTAATTATTTACTTATATTTCATTTAAAGTGTTAATTTACCACGAAAAGTACTAACATTTCTTTTTCTTTTTTTTATGTAGAAGTTCTTTTTATAAGATACAATCCTTGATGCATTAATTAAGAATGCATGAAAGAGTCTAGCACGAAGATGGTATGGTGACATGCTTAACAAGCTGAAACATAAGAGTAACAAACTTGTGTTTGTTAAATATAAAGTGTGGGAATCATGACATTGCGATTGGGCCACTCCCGAGTATCAACCTCAATCTTAGCAAACATCTCGAAATTGTATATCGGAGACAGATTTTATCGGTGCTAGCCCATCCAAGCATATTGGCGAGTCCATCTTTTTGAACGAGCACGCCGAGTAATTGGTAAATACTATATTATCCATTTTATTATAAATTAATTTTTATATTTATTTTATTTCATATTATTTTATTTATTTTCTTCAACATAATAAATTGAGTTGTAATCCAAATTCTTACGAGCTATTCGTGACCACTCACAAGCGAAATGATGAGACATTCGTCGACATCACGAACGATAATGGTAAGGTTTTATTTTTTAAAAAAAATATACATACATCTATTGAAATAATCTAAAAAAATATGCTTATGATTTAATATTGTAATTATTTCAATAACTTAGGAGTGCATGCGATCAATGCAATAAGTAGATGCTAAGGAGCGATACAAGGGTGATGCATTGTCTCAAGATATCAACATGTCCAAGATATATTTAGATGCTCGTCAGATGAGAGAATGAGTAGAGAGTATATGATGTTAGAACTTATAAGTCCTAGTGTTACTCACACTCGATGCCGGTTCCTCTTCTACCACTTCGCGATATCCTAGTAGTAATATCTATGAGGTTTCTACTCAATAAGAAGATAGAATCAAAGGGATGAGACTATCATCCGGAAATAGGTAAGTTAAGTTAACAACATGTAGACTCAATTGTAAAGAGTTATAGGATTGTTAGAAAACCTCCAACCGTCTTCCTTCCCTCCTCCCGACCCTCTCATAACCTAGCAGTTAGTTTTCCTCTCAACAACAAGCAGTCGAAAGATGATATAGGATATTGTGATAATGAGGACTAAATTTCTTTTTTTTGTTTAATTTTTTAAAAAATATTTTTGTACATCTTAATGCATTTATATATTTATTTTAATTTACTATCTATTTTTTTAATTTTATTAAATAATATAATGTGTTTTAATAAGGTGTTATTTATTGTTGTTTGTTATTACAATTCTCAATAAACGAGTTATTCATTTTTAAAAAAACAAATTAACGATGGATTTAGCAACGAAATAAAGAGCATAATTAATGATGGATACATGTATAATCACTAAATAATGACGGATTTAGCGACATAATTGCAAGGATATTAGCGACTATAATTTAGTGATAGCCCATTCCATCTTTATTTAGCAATATATTTAAGTGGAAATAATGATTTTTTGGTGATAGATATGAGATATTACAAACAAATGACTTAGATCGATTTAACAACGATAGGTCAATAATTTAGAGGCGAAAGGTCAATAATTTAGTGATGAATATTCTGTCACTAAGTAATGACGAGAAGAAAAATTCGATCGCTAGAAAAATAATGATTATCATATTAGCGACGAAATTCATTTTGTCTCTAATCCATCGTTAGTTGCATATGATGACAAATTTTTGACAAATAGCGATAAAAAAATCTATCACTATTTAACAAAATTTTGATAGTGTGGAGCGTTCAAAACTTGAATATATATTGATGAAACCGAGGGATATAAGAAAGACGATAAAACAATTCGGTTTCTTTTCTTTTCGTTTTAATTTTTATTGGTATAAAAATTACGTTACCTGAAGTACTTGATTGTTTAATGAAAAGGCTGAAATTTCATTATATGAATTTGAGGACTTGTCTTTTCTTTTTATCATCAATTACTTGATTGTTTAAAACAATTACGTTCTTTTTTTTCAAGTACTCGATTGTTTTCGAACGTGGGATGGCATACCTACACACACGCATCTTTGTCCATTTTTTTTAATCCCGTTTACGTAAATTTTTTTTTTTTTTTGAATATTTTTATGATTTTAGTAGTAACAAGCATTGCATCACATCCTTAATATAAACATTAATTAGCTTTATCAAACAACTATTTTGTCAGTTGATGATTGTATCTTTGTATGTTATTTTTCTTAGGACATACATTAGTTTTCGTAAATTTAAGGTTTTAATATTTTGCATTGTCTTTCTATTTTTTTTTTAATTTCTTAATTTTTTTTCAATGTAAACCATATTAAAAAAAATGATAAATTTTAATTTATTGTTCATTTTATATTTTAAAATAGAAATTATGTGCATGCAATTGTTTAGACGTTTTAATTGAAATATAAGATTTTATCACATCAAATTATTTTAAGAAAGTTGTTTATTTGATTAGATTTAAAAAATTTAGGGACTAAAAAGGCTTATTTCCGTTTGTTGGAGTAAACTTAAAAAGGAACATTGATTCCTGATTAACTTAAGAGTGGACAAAGATAAAATTGAAACCTCAGAAAGAAAAACTATGATAAAATTGAAGTCTCAAGAAAAAATACTGGATTCGTCCAACACCCGAATTAAATTAAATTTAACTCTTCAGAATTTTTACTATCCTATAAATAGAATTTTAATTTCGAAAAAAAAAAAACCATGATCGTACACATTTTATCAAGGAATCGAAATCTACTATATAAAAAAAAAAGGTCTCAAATTAAGAGTAATGGCCGGGGCTTATAATTCTTAGTGTGTAGTGGACTTTAGATATAAAAAAATCTGGTGAATGAAAATAAAAATAAAAGTGAATAATTAATGATATTCGTTCTCAAAAAACTCTTCCAATACACAACTCAATAGGCAAATATTTTGATAAATCTGAAATTGCACGAGTACGTGAGTAGCAACGGGTAGTGCTGAGCACACTGATAATAATAAATGAAAGGTTCAGATGAGAAGTGAAGGAGAAGAGATGGAAACGTAAGCAATCTCTATCATTCATGTGGGTGTTCAATTACCTGCTGATACATTTCCTAAGACATGATATCATATACTACACAAATGAGAGGTGAGTTTTTGTTTTTTTGGCAGAGCCCTTGGATTCGCTCCTTTCCCAAAATCTGATGGGTTTGCATGTTCCCGACATTGTCTGAGTTTCAAATGGCATGATTGCTTTCCTTAAACAGAATGTAAGGTTCTGGTCAGTGCAAAGCATTTCAGAAAACTAGAAGACTAAAACGCTTACCATATATGGTACTTAGTCAAGGCAGACACTACATACTTAAACACCGCTATCCCCCACACCCAACCTCCACTGTCCTTGAATATCATTTTTTTTTCTAGCATAGATATTTTCGCGCACTTTCCTATGTCCTTTTTTACCTTCTCCTGCTAGTATTAATTAGTTGACAATTTGTTTTAACCTCAAGAGAAATGGATTGAATTGCTCTTATCCCCAGTACTGTAACTCCGTGTACCATCCTGATCAAAGTTTATTCTTGCATTGAGTGCGAGTTCGTTTAATTAAGAGATCGAGGAGAAGCAAGTTCGATCTATGTGAATATGCATTGCTAGAATATTTACAGTGTTGCATGGGTTGGAATCCTAAATTCCTGCTATATATATTTGATTCCAAGTGCAATCTGTCGATTAATGATTTGGTTAGTTCTAAAAACAATGAGAACAAAATGGAAGCCCGTCCTATAAGATAAATGGGCCGCTGAATTAATGATCTCTTTTTTTTACTCAGTTTATTATTATTATTATTATTTATTGGTACAGACTTGTTAAATGGACAGAGATCGAGTTGCTAGCAACTGGATCTTTGTTTTTTTAATGGCAATCGGAACTTTACTACCACAGGGACCAACTATAATGACACATGGGTGCCCCTAATCATTCAGAGAGAGACGTGAATGGCGTAAGGAATTGAAGCAAACCACATGTTCACATCTCTTGCCACTTCTATGTACCTTGTACAAACTCTACCTCAGTCAAGTAAGATACTGAAATGTGATTGAGAATCCTCAGGACGATTATATAGTACCCCACGTCATGTCTTGTTATTACCCCTACAACGCAAACTCTCTCAGATTCTGACTTTACACTAGTCTATACGGCCAGATTGTTTTGCCGAACCACAGAATATGCCTGTCTGCTGTCTTCCAAAATCTCCTTTAACAATTGATTCCTTGCATTATACTACCCTGGCTGGCCTACCAATCTACATAATGATGGCCGTTTTGTTGATGAGTTCGCTATTCCTTGCATCGGTCAATGAAATTCTTTGAAGTTACATCGGTCAATATAATTTAACAGCTAGAAGACAACTGGACTACTCATGGGTTTTGGGGTTTCGTTTTTATTGTGCGGAGAATTGAGCATTAAGCTGCTATAACTGCAAGCCCAATTATGGCTCACTTCCTCCAAAGAAATTTTTTTTTTTTTTAATTGCTAAAACCACCATACAATTCTTTTCTCTGAGAAACCAATCAAAATATCTTTGCATCTATAAAACTCCAAACAAAATTTTCATATTAAAAAATTCAAATTATTTAATTTTCATGTAACACTGTTATTCTATTTGTTCTTTTTTTTTTTTTTCCCTAATGAAAAGTTAGTTTTGAAGTTTTATAGAAATAAAAATAATGTTGATAATTAAAATACCCAAATATCTAATAATTTCACTGAACTAGCTTAACGGTTTAAATTTTACAAGCCCAGGATAACTATTTTCCTACCCACAATATCTCAACTATTTACGTTATTAATGATTAAATTGAATAATAGTGCTCCCAGACTCAAATAGCTATTGGTGTGGGACCTCATCAGCCAGCTTTACTAGAAACAGCAACTTCTTTAATGTTTAAATTTATCCCACATCATCATACTCGTTCCCATCTTCATCTTACATACAGAAAAAAGTTTAGTGTTTCTACACCAAATTTGACATTACAACTTGTTTGACAGGGAGAAGTTTGCTACTTCTCCTCGTTCAATGAAAGATATCCACAAACTCTCTTTACATTCTTTGTCTAAAAGTTATACTAGAGAAGCAAAAAACTCTTAAGTTGTGGTAATTAATATAGATGGAAACTCGCAATATAAGATACTATATAGATCTAATATAACGATCTCGTTAGCCAATTAACAAACGGGAATCAAGAAGGCGGCGCTTTTGCGGGGACTCAAGGGTAGGGCTTCCGAAAGGTCTACGGAATATTGGACTAGATGTATAGGTCCGTTAGACACTTTTTCTTATAACATTAATTGTCCACGCTATAAATAGAAGCAACATCACTTGTATTTGTAGCTGCCACTTGCAAAATCTAATAAAAAATCCTAATGCAATCGTAAAGTAGGTACCATTACCGAACCACGTAAAATTCTTATGTTGTGTGATTGTTCTTGCCTCTTTACCTTATTTTTTTGTTTGATTCGTTTCCTAACAAAAATAAATTTGCAACTAACCTTTCTAGCTAATGAACTAATTGACTATCTAACAAGTCGACTAACTAATTAACAAACTAGTTGACTAACATAATTAGTTAGGTGTGTGGCTTACATGAAAAGACACATAAGCAAGTCCTTCTAATACTTACTCACAAAAGGTGTATGTATGTCGGTCATGATCATCTTGCCCATGAGAGACTAAAAATGTATAGGTTTCGAGGTTTGGTGATTATATCTCGCAAGTTAGAGTGTAGTTGATACATACTTAAGTTTTAAAACTTTAACAAGAACTTTCTCTCTAATAAAATGATGATATATTTCACTATATGTTGTCCAATCATAAATAACTGGATTTTTTCTTATGTAGATAGCCGATCGATTATCATATTTAAACAAAACTACATATTTGTGTCCAAATCTCAATTGAACTTCTAGCAACCAAATACTACTTCTTGAATTTCCGAGTTAATAAGAGAATATATATATATATATATATAAAACCACAATAACTCGTCACATATCTTTTTGAATCTTTACGAGCATATCCAGTCATTATTTGTATAAGCTTGTAATTGAATATCAAATTTAGAAGAAAACAATAAACGTTGTCCATATGCCAATTTTAGATATTTTAAAAATCGAAAGATGTTTGTAAATGAATATCTGCTAGTTTATCCATGTATTGAGAAAGAACTTGAGTAGCATAGAAGATGTCAAGTCTAGTAAAAGTCGGATACAAGAGTTTTTTTTTCACAAGTTATTTATAAACAATTAGATCTTTAAGAAAACCAGATTGAGCTTGCACAAGCTTGCAATAAGGATCTATTGGAGTATAGGCTAGTTTAACATCTAACATATTATTTTCTCGCTAACAAGTCAAACATATTTTTTTTTACATAAAAAAATTTCTTTAGATGATCTAGCAACCTCAATATTAAGAAAGAATTTCAACTTTTTTAGATCTTTCATCTTAATTGAGAATGCGGATATCTCTTAAATTCTTTAATAGTTTTAGCAGAATTGCTTCCAATAACTATATCATCAACATGCACAATTAAAGCAAGAAATATGTTTGAAGATACTCTTTTAGTAAATAGAGAATAATCTATCTTAGACTATGAAAACCTAAAAGACAATAAGATAATAGTAAGCTTTGAGTTTCACTATCCGAAAGTCCGCTTCAAACCATACAAAGACTTCGAAGTTTAAAAATATGCTTCGTGTGTGTAGAATACTTTCATTAGACTCGATGACCTAAAGGAAAGTCCATATACACTATTTCTTCTAAATCTCCGTTAAAAAAAAAAAATGCTATTCACATTCATTTATGACAAATAACAACCTTGAGAGGCTGCAAGTGCAAAAAAAAATCTCATTATTGTTTGTTTAACAACGAATCGAAGGTTTTTTTAAAATCATATCTTACTCTTTGACTATACCCTCGGTCACTAACCTAGTTTTATATCTATCAATAGAGCCATCGGTATAAAGTTTGATTTTCTAAATCTATTTACAACCCATAATATGTTGACCGGTAAGAAGAAAAATAACACTTCAAGTATTATTTTGCTCAAGAGCATCAAGTTCAGCTTTTATGCCATATTGCTAGTAAATAGATTACATAATTTAGTGATATGTGTGAGGTTCAACAAGATCTAAAAGAGAAGTAAGAAAATTATTTACGTGAGGATGATGAACATATAGTGGAAATATAATATTGAATGGGATGTTTAATAAAATAACATATGGATGAAATATTTAAAGGTAAACTAGTTTGATAGCAAAAAAAATAGTTAGGAGGTTTATCGACTTTATTACTTTTCTTGATAGAAATAGAAGGATTAGATAAAGAAGGAATAACATCCGAAGAGGAAGGGGTTGATTAAGAATGAATGATTTCTAATGAAGATAAAGTTGTTTGATGAGGGACAATATATAAAATAGATATAGTTTTAGAAACATGTGCAATTTTAAGAACAACAATTGGTCTTTTAATCAAGAATAAATGGTGTATTGTTAGATTCGGTGATGAATCATAAAAAAAAAATTAAGAGAAACATGCAATGTATGATGAGATATGATGCTAGGAATTCTAGGTAAGAAATTATATTGAATTCTAAAGAAAGAAAAAAACATGTTCATAGAATGTAATTAACATCTTTGGAGATGAAAACAGTTTTAGAATTCATATCATAGAGCTTGTATACTTTCATGCTAACATGATAACCAATAAAAACAATTGTCTAGCTCCGGAATCAAACTTCTTTTTGTTATAGGAAAGAGTAAAAGCAATGCAAAGATAACCAAAGATTCATAAATGAAAACTTGAAGGCCTTTTATAAATGACAATTCATAAAGAGTTACGTTATTTATGATAGGAGTATAAAGTCATTAATCAAGTAAACTATAATTAAAACTACATCCCTTTAAAAATTAATAGGTAAATAAGGCTAAAATAATAAGAATCTAACAATAACAAGTAAGTATTGATGTTTTTTTGTAACAAAACTATTTTATTGAGGTGTATCAATACATCATAACTAACGAATTATGCCTTTTATGGAATACAAATCGGAAAGATTAAATCCTAGTTCATTGTTTAATCAAACTGATTTTGAACAAGATTCAAAAAAGTAGGAATATTGGAGGTAACATCCGTAACACTAAAAAAAAAAAAAAGCTTCACATTATGTAGGTGTATCCTTGTGGGTGTCTTTTAATTTTCTTCTTATTTTATGCATGTAATTGATATTTTTTAATTTTTTTTAGTATGTGATATGTTTTAGATAAAATGTGTTTTGACATTAGAAAAAAAAGAGAGGTAATCATGAAAAATAGTAATTAATTAACTAAACAAAAAAAAAAGACTAAACAGATATTAACTATAGTTATGATTTTCCTAAAATCTAGCTAACCGGAGGAAGCTCTCTACTATCACGAGCCATAAAGAAACCACATCTACGGTAAGTTCTTCGATACTAAAGTTTCCCTCATAGGGGATGCAACTTCTATTAATCCTCCCTCTTTCAACCCTCTACCTCCTCTTTCTCATCCTTCGGCACATAACCCATACCCACTAAACATCTATTATAAAAAAACAAAAACCATAATATTTCCTATGCACCCACTCGTTATCAATCGACTCGATACCCATTATTGCTTCTCCCTTCTAACCATCACTCCTAAACCTCCATATTTTTTTGAAAGAGAACCAGCAGTTGAGTTTTCGGTAGCAGATCTATAATAGTCATCCAAGATATTTAAATTCTTATTGGTGGCTAAATTCTTCAAGGGTCATCCTCTTATTAATACCGATCGAGCTCACATTTAGTAACATTAGGGATCATCGAAACTTCAGCTTTTAGTTTGATAGATCTAAGGCATGTGTTAATTTGAATGTTCATTAAAGGTGACTTCATCAAGGTCTAGTCTCATGATACATCTAATTGAAAAATCTCTCTTAGGCTATTCAAATGGGATGAAGCCTTCAACACAAGATTTGAGACTTTAATGGCTGCAATCTAGGTAAGGTTACCTAGTCTCCTTCTTTCCTTTTTCCATTTAACATTCTTAAAAGAGATTAGTTGACCTTTTAGGAGTTTTTTACATCCAAACAAATGAATAAGGAATGGATCACACCCTATGTATGTTAGAATTTCTATAGAAGTAGATCTAGATCATTTCATCACGAATATGGATTTTAGTCGGTCTTGATAAATCAAAAGGATTTTGGTTGTCTATACGAGCGGAATCTAACACATCATTTTGTAATTACTATCATTTATAAGGCTATTTAAAAAGCAACTATCATAGACTATCA